TTGAATTATATTTCGTAATCTACGCGGTGTATAAAGATATGATCCAATTTTGTTAGAGGAGAGCTAGTGGTCACCCTGCGGTATAATTTCTTTGGTGTAAGGGGCTTAATTTATCCGATTCAGGAGTTCAGTAATGGACCTGGTAAGATGAAATCGTGCTCTTTTCCTTTCAAAGGTTATTTATCGGAATATATTCCCCCACACCAATACTATCATTTCCGCTCCTCCTCCCACCTTTCAATTCTAGCAATGCACATAATACAAAACAAGACAAGACTCCGATTGACCCCGCCCCGTCCTATATCCCAGAAGGGAAGGTCTTGCAGCGAATAAAACCTGAGGCATCGCGCAAAGTCTCGAGCCCAGACCTCGGGGTCTCCAGACCACGGGTTCCAAGCCCCTACTTCCATTACGTGTAGAGTACGATTAGATTGATAAATTAGGGTTAGGGTTTGTATGAAATTTTGGATTTTTACACGAATTAATCTACGTATCAGAACCTCCACCTGGAAAATACTCTATTTCTGAAAACCTTATCGTTTTTCGGGACGTCTCGAGACTGCCAGAATGAGTCTCGAGACTAACTATCTTGCCTACCCGCAGGTCTCGTCTTCTCTCCATCTCGCGTCGTCTAAAAGAAAATAGTCTCCAGATGTTCTGTTCCGTGTGCATTACTACCCCCAATACAGAAACAATGCACAATTTAGACCTGCACTCATTCCTACCATAGATGTCTGATCCTCACGAGCATATTCCAAATTTTCTCTCTACAAATCATACCGCACAACGAAAGCGGATGAGATCAGTCTGATCGCACGTTTATCAACCTGAGCGCTAGCTTTCTCAAGTCTTTCCTACCCCTAATACAGGGAAATCCCGCGCAGTAAACAAATGCTCGATCGGATCTTGGATATCACTCGGTATATATCTTGGCTTCGAGAATGGCCGGAAAAGACAATCAGACGCAAACAACCGGCCATTACCTCATTACTATTCCATCCCCATCCCGGCGGTAACCCCCCCGTTCCCCGCTCCCCGCTTACCGCAGCTGCTCACATAGCTCATCCTGGCTGACTCAGCCCCGCCCCCGCCTCTACCGGACCCGAGTGATACCTCATGACCGCGCGCCCATCGTAAATGAACAAATAAATCGGATGAATACCCCACGTGACCGAGGAGGGTCTGTGGCCCAATCGAAAGACGTTTTCGGTGATGGTGTCAATCGTATTGTTTCTAGATGGTAGTCGGGATCGGAACCGGGGACGCACCGCCCTGCCCGGGCCTGCGGGCCACTAAGGGGCCACTAGCTCGGCGGTCGACTGGGGACGTTGCGGGCAGGGGCGTCGTCATCGCTTAAATACTCCGCGCGCGTACGGCCAGACACTGTGGCCGCGCGTTCAGTGTACATATGGCGTACGCGACGCGGCTGAGCGAGCACGTGCACATGTGCCTGTACATATGCATACAGCCACTGGACCGCAGTTCCAACCAGGGCATACATCCGCGCGCCAAGCGATATGGATTACACACTGTAGCTGGAATCTTGGTCAAAGAGGAACTGGTGTGTCGGCCAATTGACATGGTAAATCTATGGTGGGGTGCGGCGGGTATGGTCAGGGTTAGGGTTTGAGACTATCAGCAGTGCGGGCATGGGCTGTCGTGTAGGCCGATGCTGCGCGGGAATGGGGGAGAGGGCTTGGGAAGATTCTCTGTGCGGACATGTGGCGTTAGGGTTAGGGTTAATAATTGGTGATTGCAGAATTTAGAAATGAAATGGCGGGGTGATGGTGTATGCGGAGGGACACAGCCGTTTTTTTTTAATTCGGGCAGGGGGGAAGCGATTGAGCTCATTCGACAGCGAGGGTGAATGCTTGAGATGGAGGACTGGAGCTGACTAGTTACATTGTGAAACCCAGCCATTCTTCGACTTGGTAGACTCTACCGCGCGCCCTCAGTTCCGATAACGATGGACAGCTGGCTTGCGCTACTTGTGGTGATGGAGAATACGGCGAAAGGCTTGCGACAATACGAGATAAAAACAAACGACAGAAGGCCCTTTCCAAAATGCGAGTGATCGTTCATGATCCACATATCACCCAACGAAAACCCAGTTTTTTGTCGCACTAAATGGGGTAGGGGACTACAGCATGTACGTGATAGGATTACTGTAGAAGTATGGGAAAGGTCCGATTGGTCGAGCCAGCGACTTAAACCCTGTTTTTAGTACAACAATTCTTCCCCTCGCTGTAGGTACAGCGCCACGGCTTTTTGTCATGGCAACCAGCGCTTGCGCCAATGATCAGACCAACCAGTTTTAACTAACCAACTAACTAACTTTAGCTCATTGAACATTGTAGACTCTGCAATGAATTGTGTAACGTAAGAGCACCACAGGGTCTACGGTGCACCATACGGCCAGCGCTACCGTCAACCAGCGCGTGCACCAAAAAGATCTTAAATTTAATGTCAAAATCGTTTAGCGAAGTCTCTGGTTTTTAAGCAGCGCTTTGGGGTGCGGGTGTGTTTAGCGGCTCGGCCAACGGAAGCCAGCCTCGCTTTTCGAGTACAGTCATCAAAGATAGAGTGAAAAATAGCAGAGAATTAGAGAAAGAAAACTCGAAGCTGAACCTCTCTTCTCTCTCTTTTATTTCTCAGTCTTGGCCACGAAACTCAGAATTCTGTGTTGATATTTAGTAGTCTCGATATATTGCGTAGCTTTGCCGGATCCTTGGCCCTACATCAGTAGTAACACAATTAGGGTACAGCCCCCCCGAGCTCTCAACTCCCACCCGCACGCAAACGTACGTGTACCACCCGCACCCTCAACCCTATGTACCCCCTGGTAGAGAATACGGCGCTGCGAGGGCACTGTGTGGTGGTTGCAATGGTATCCGGGGGCCAGATATCCCTAACCCTAGTCTTGAGTCTTGGCACTAGTTATACCACCTTGTCAGCTAAATTGTGGGGCCCCAGAAAATAGCAAATTTGGTGTCACTTTACTAACTGATTTTCTTCTCTTTCCTATCAAGCAGTAGGCCTCCCATATTCTGTGTCTATATAGTATCGGGGGTCAGCAACTGACGGTTGAAGGGATAATTATAATATAAACTCACGTGAGGAAAGACGAAACATGGTCCAGTATCGCCCTGTTTTTTATTGCGCCCATCCTTGATCAACTGATATCTTTGTGTGGCTTGCCTGGGCCTGGATATGGTGGGGATTTGGGAGACCTGGATGAGATTATGGAGAACATTGTTTCGAGTTTTTCAAGACTCCTGTTGGAGAATACAAGGCGAGACGGGACTTGAGAAGGTCTTGGACCTATCACTAAGGGAGGGGATAGCTATGGGACCCGGATGGTCTACGGTGGGGAAATGGCTCAGGAAAGGGCACAAGAACACGCTACGAAAAGGCAAGTAAAAGTCAAGGGAAAGGAAATGAAAATGGCATAATGATACATTTCTCACGGACGTACTCCTGTAAACAGTTTTAGATTATCCTCATGCCTGACTACCAGGGCGCTTAGAATTGGGGTGTTCGCGTGTGGGTTGAGTGCTACTGCGGGCGTTAAGGAGTAGCAGGGGGGTGTAGCATAATTACCGTTCGCCAAGACCTCTTCCTGTCCCTGTCCCTGTTCCTGCATGGAATAGTGGATGCTTCCAGGCCCTAGCAACGCGTGGGAGTTGACACGCGGTGTGCGTTTTATTCAACCAGTGGATAATAGTAAAAGCTCAATATCCCCCCCCCCCCCCACTCCTGTAAAGATGAGCATTCTGCAACATTTTTAATCTATGTCCATGCCGCACGGTCTCTATCGTTCGTCAAGCCATGAGAGATATGTGGATTACGTTGTATTTGCTATCGTTGGCCCGGTATGTGGATGGTTAACTGCATGTAGTACCAACTACCCTACTGGTAGATGCCTACACTCGACACCGGGATCGTAGTGGGAGTGGCAGTGCAACTGTTCAAACCCCCTTCTTGGCCTAAATCAAGAAAATATATAATCCAGCTGCAGTACCATCTATTGATACACAAATCTGTGTGTATGAGCGCAATTCTCAAGCTTCGAAGAATGGAGTGGGCTATTACTGTGGATGTAGAGATGCAATATTTTATCTACTTCGTACCTACCAGAACTGTCTATGGCCAGCGAAATACTGTCACCGTATACCTCACAGCTGGTCTGTTCACCTGTTTAAATATATTCAAACACGCTCTTAATTACGAGGTGGAGTTCGCCCGTACGACCCTTAACCTGAAAACCAACCCTGGATAATATGGTAGAGTACAGGATACGTCACTGCCAGCTACGTATACTAGTACTATAGTTGTGGACTTATAGCGAGAAATAGGTGGCATGACAACCTGTCCTCAATGATGCAGTATAAAGCTCAAAACTCTAGTAGTCCTATCGATATCGTCATCGTCTCTACCAATGGTCTAGTCTCGCTACTGCCAAGGCAACACATACCGGCTTACAACACCTAACCCTAAACACCTTAAACATCAACATACTTGAGCTAGCGTTTAAGTTCTATGTGGGCCAAATCTTGAGAACAGGTTCTTAGTTTGAATCAACTTTATTCTGTCCCTTCAATTATCCTTCTTCAATCCTGCTCAATTCGGTTTAGCAAAGAGAACACAGTTTTGTGGTCAGAAAGAAAAAGAAAGAAAAAAAGGTTGGGGACCCGGTGTAATAACCTCGTCTAACACACAAAGCAAAAAGAAAATCAGCTCGAGAGGAATAGAAAAGAAGGATGCATGTTACAAAGAAAATCTGGCGACAGCCACAACGTTTAATCCTCCCTGCATCACAAAGAGGAAAATAACAGCTAGAAGGACAGAACACAAATTATACCCATCACCAAAAGATAAAGAAATAGCTGGAAACTCCACCCCTTGACGCCTTGCGATAGAAAAGAAAAATGGAATGTCTTGAACGAGACGGGAAAGCTGAACAAAACTCAAGTTTTATACCACATCGATCTTTCAAGTGCTCAGGCCCCCGTCCCTTGTGTTGTGGTACTAGCTGCGACTTGATCACTCTCTTGTTGTTGGTTAGGTGTTGCTACTGTCCCCCTCGCAGGCCCGATGCCGCCCGCAGGGTCTCTAGGGCTGCCTCCAGGTCTGGATGTCTGTGATTCGGTGCTGTGTGGGACTGATAAAGTGGTCCCGGCCGCTCGTCCATTCCCCCCAACGCCTCCAACTGCGTCGGCAGTAACTACCTGGGTGAGGGGCGCAGTTTCTCCACTTGCAGATATTGCCTTAGAGGGGCCTAACCATCCCCGGAGCCATCCCGGTTTCCGACTAGTCGGTTGGCCGGTCGCCTTACTTAGCTTCTCATTCTGCCCTGGCCCTGCCGCCACCATTTTTATATCCCTAATCCCCAGCTTCACTTGACGCTGTCTGTATTCATTCCTTGTCCATGGCGTAACCCCTGCAATAAGATCTTTAATTTTGTCGTCGTCCCAAAACATGAAGACAACTAGCAGCATCATCACACCCACGGTGACAGGCCCCGCGATCATCCAGAACCCCCTGTGTGTGCTTACACCTGTCATGGTTAGGTACTACACCACCGTTTGATCAGCATGTGTAGAGGAGAAAGGAGTGTAGTTAAAATACTAACCTGCGCAAAAAACTCCAGCGGGAGAAAGACAGCTGTTATAAACGCAAAGAACGATACCGTCTGTCCCTGCCTTGCCATTATGTTCTTCATCTTCACGGTAGTCTCCCCCTGCCTTTCCAAAGCGGCACTTAGATCTACGGTAAGATTGTGCCTCCCTTCCTCCTGCAGCTGTTCTCTAACCATACGTAGCTCACCCCGAAGCTCACTCCGTCTCTTCTTCACATCATCCAACATCGTATTCATATCAGTCAGTACTCTTCCCCTTTCTACGATTAATTGTTCGAAGACTGCCCGCGCGTTTTTCAGCTGCTCACTCTGCCCATCGAATTTCGGTAAGGGTACGGGGTTACCGAACGCCGGCCGGTAGCGCGGATCCTGTTGGTTAGTGGTGATAGTTTCTAAGTCTCGAAGGATCGACAACTGTTTCCTCAGGATGACGATAATGGTCTTCAGATTCAAGATATGCCTTTCGAGAAGACCATCCGAAACCCTTATTATGCCTCTGTAATCCCTTCTCACGACCCCGGTAAGTTGATCAGGCTCGAGTAAGACATGCTCACTCATTTTCGCTTCTATATTAGATATGTCTTCGTCCACTTTCGCACGGAGTACCTCAAGCGGTTGTACTTCATGTCGGAACAGGTTCCCGATGATCAATGCAAGCGCGTGCAAGGGGCCAAAGGTAGTCTGGTGACCGAATAGTGGAGCACACTTAGAGCCCGGGGAGTCGGGAGACTTAATGAGGGCAAGTCTGGTGTCGTCGAAGAGTATCTGCCACGACTGCCAGACACGCATGCCATAGTCTGGTCCTCCTTCAACCCCCTCACTTCCCCCGTAATACGGGAGCTTCATGCCATTCTCGATCCCATCTTGGGGGATGCTATCATCGTTGGTCTCTAGACCGCACCCTAGATACGGTAGTCCGACGAAGATATTGTGTGAGCTTTCCTCAGCACGAACCCTTACAGCGTTGATAAATGGGTCTTTCCCATCTGTTTGAAACAGCTCGCGAGAGTACAGAATAGGAGGGGAGGAATCAAAGAGTTTCTTATCCCGAGCTTGTATTAGTCTGAGTTCTAGATGTAGGGAACGCCCTCAGAGAGCCGCAGGGAAGGGTAGCATACCTTGATATTTTCTAGAGTAAAGGTTTGAATATATCTAAGCTCACAAAGAAGAACTTGTTAGCGAACGGAGATGCCAAGGAAAACGAACAACGATGGGTGGGTACTTACGGAATCTGCACATGAGCCGGGCGATTGTCCTTCAGCCAGGGTATATTTCCACCACGAGCACCCGTGGCGCTATCAATCTCAGCCAAGGACACAATATCATACGTAGCTCGAGGAGGCTCAGAAGCGATCGATGGGGCGGCTGGTTGTTTATCCTTTGCATCGGTTCCAGCCTCCTCTTTTTCAGCCTCCTCTTTCCACTTCTCCGCCCCGCCAACATAGCGTAATTGATAGTCACCAACAGAGCGTGATCTGCTCGTTCTTCTGTTATCAGACTCAGGCTGGTATTCCCCATAGTAAAACACTACAGCATCCGTAGGGCTAAGACCTTCGATAATAGGAAGTCCACCTGGGCGAGACAGGCAAAGGTTTTCGAAGGGGGTGGGGGGGACAGCTTGGATTTCTTGAGAAGCAGCTCCCGAACCCAGACCAGCACTGGTCGAGGCCGGGTGAGGGATAGCGCTGGAAGAACTCCCGGCCGAGGCTGTTGCACTGCTCGACATAATTGTGGCGTGTGGTGCCTGAACGTGGCTGGTTGGAAGGTTTGACTAAGACAAGTTTGTGAAGGACAAAGACTGCGTAGGCTGAAGAGTAAGACACAAAGGTAGGAGATCTGGATCTAACGCCCGGGAATCCGGAAGATAATGCTATAAGGAATTTCTAGTTTGTCACTTTTAATTCTTTCAGAGGAAACCCCCCGATAAATACCTCGCTGCCAAGAAAAAACCACAACCTATGTTCGCGCTGGTTTCGTACGTGCGTAGATAGTGTATGTGTATGTAGGTCTGTATTCTTTGCAAGGCTCAGTTAGCCTGTCGAGAGAAAAAATATTCATTATCGAATCACCTTTTTTCAAAAACCACCACTAATGTCCGCTATTTCATAAGGTTGTGAGCGAGGCCATCCTACTGCAAGGACAAAACAACAACAGAAAGTCAAAAGCGGACAAAGGCAGACTTAAGCTGCAGGTACCTGAATATATGATTGGCTCCCCGTCGAAGGTTAATTGCATTTTGCAATTTGTTAATTCGGTTTTACTACAGTAATTACCTGGCTATTGGCGGAAGATCATAGTAGGTGGGGCGAGGAAAAAATACCTTCTTCTGCGTTGGCTCCTAGCACTCGGAATATTTGGGCCATTCCACACTCAATGGACATGTAGCACCTGGCACACCTCTCACGTTCTGGGAAGTGTTATACTGCCATCATGAACTATCACTCGTCATTACAAGGAAGGTTGGTGTTATTCTATACACTTTGAGAACGTATTTGATGTTCTTTAAAACCTGGAACAACATGAGCTCTCTCGACGGAAAGCATCTCGGGAAAGTTGTGGACTTTGCTATGCCACGAAAGGTTCGATCGGCCCTATCGTGTGTAGATACAAGTCTGACACAGGATCGTGGATACCAAGTGTAAACTCCTCACTGGGTTCGAGCCGATATCAAAAAGGTAGCCTTCGCATCGATCTATTCTGATGTAACAGAGAGTCATATATTCAAGTTGAAATCATCGAGTTACAAGTAACGAGTGTTCCTCAGCGCGGGCCAACGCCCGGCGATCAACCTTCCCATTTCCAATCCTCCACACCACCGAAAGTACACTGTGCCTAATTAGGGTTCCTGCAGTTATAGTCCCCAGTACTTTCTAACATCACTTATTCTATTACACTCCGCGCTTCAGAGCACCCCCGGACCTACCCGTAACGAGGATAACAAGGATCCTCATGAACTACTCATTGGTTAGCCTTCATAAGGTAGACAGCGCTAGAGGGCCGAGACCGATTAGTGTGCGGTAGTCTAGTCATCAACTGACAAGGCTAAGTTAATTGAACTCCAGTATGCCTCCCCATGATAACTTACTACGTGTAACGAATCACAGTAATCCAGAACTTCCTAATATCAACAAGCGCTTAGGAGGTTATTTCCATCACATTTTCGATCTTGATATGCATAACAGAGAACACGAGGCTAGATCAAGGCAGACAATGCAAAACCCACGGCAGATAGCGAGCTACGCACCCTCGTTTTACTGGGTGTATACACCGACAGTAAAAATATTTCATTCGGTGCCCGTAGGCAGAAGCGGCCCCTTGGTGCGCCAGTTGCGAATCATATTATGGCACGCTGGGTAGGTAGGACTGTTTGACAGAAACATGAATTTTGATACATGACAGCTAACGATATATTGATCTATCTCCACGGAGGTGTCTAACATCATCTTGGTGATCATCAAACGGAATGCATTCCCCTGAAGTTACACGTGCAGAAATCCCCTGTTGGCATCTTCACGTCCTGGTTCTGGAGTAACTGGGAATCCAAGGCATAGGCAAGACCTTAGCAGGAAGGACGAAGTTCCAGGCCAATGGTTTTCCCCTCAATCTCATGGTGGTGTGTCATCATGTCCTACTCACGAGAATGAAATGTCAAGTTATATTGCAGTAATACCTGTTATTGGGCTCAACTATATATGTCCATGCAGGGGCTATTGTTATATAAGTGAAAATTTCGATGGCTGCATAGATCTTCCAGGCATATAGCACATAGTACGTACGTATTACCAGCGTCCAAAAAACCTCCCCACAGACCGAATGGTGCTTGTGATCAGCCTCCACTACTAAGATCACTGAAACAAAGAACTCCAACCCTTGCATATCTAGAGCGCGTGGTTTCATTCTTTAGTGGTATAATGGACCCCATAATGCTTCTTGGGCACCCGCAGAGACCCTGATATGTTCCGGAATTTCCGTACGCTAACCCAAAGGACACGTTCGAACATCTAGTTGGCACAATTCAAATAAAGGTTTGGATTGTTATCACATTAAATTTCCAGATCGTCGTCAGCTTACGTCGAATATGACAGTGGAAAACGCGGCGAGGGGTGGTGTGTAAGACGTGTTACGAAAACATTTTCTCTTGACACTTTAGTCGTTGAATTTATAATTCAGTTCGTACCTGAATTAACGCAGTGGCGTCCATGCAGGGGAGAGAATATCCCATCTCAGAAGCCGACCATTTTCATACAACCCTTACAGCGTGAGTTAGTGCTCTTTCTCCTATACTTCAGCTCCTCATGGGCTGTCTCGTTTCAATTTCTCGAAATGCATGTAAGCTTGACTTGATTTGTATGTGGGTGATGTCTCAAGACCAGCTGTCTTCCAGCGTTAATGCGTCCGAAGACCCCTAGTCTCCCAGCACTTCAACAGTTTGGGAACGATTAAGGTAAAGTTTTTGAATCCTGGGCATTACCAGCTGCAAGTTGAACTCAGCCCGCGGTCCTTTGGGCACGAAACATCCGGATCCGCCGAAGGTCCCCACCTTCAAATCTCTAACATGTGAACCTGCAGATGCTCATGGAATCTTATGGAGCAGTTTTCCCATTCGCGAACATAATTTTTTCGACGAACATGTTCGAAGACTATAGATTGATTGTATATATTTCAAATATCTGCACCATGCGCCACATGCACAGACCCTGCTAAGCCTCTCCGCTTAAATAACTTTTAGGTGTTAATCTACAAAATCGAGTTTAAGGAATATATAATACTTTTTGAACTGTTTTAATTACCAGATAGCTTCGCGGTATTCTTGGACGTTCGAAAATGGGATAAAAGAGCTTAGTGATCTGAGGCTCGGTTTAGACATGAGGTTGTGTTAGCTGCATGGTGGCTATTCTGAACCACTGCTGCGGAATCTGTTCCGGCTCGCCTAAACTGATTAAGTAGGCTGTGTGGCACTGATCTGTGGAGGCTCTGTTCTGTTGTATGTACACATGCAAGGGCGGTAATCGATCCGGGAGAACTTGGTTCATCCGAAAAAATCTAGTCAATGCCTTGGTTTGTGTGATAGCCATATATTTTATCCACCTCTGGATGCAATTTTGTTTCCGCTACGGTTTTTGAGAACAACATTCATTGTCTCAGAGGCGATTTTTGACCGCTCTTTGTATTCACTGTTCACGACTCTATCATTTTCGAGTCTCGACTAACGCCGGATAAACATGATACAATTATGATAATAGATGATGATGAAGAGCATGACAGGAACTAAGTTAAAGTTTCTCTCATCTAGACACCTACATACCTGTGCTCGCTCGCTTAGCAGTTATGCCTACAATTTCGCTCGCCTCTTCAGCTCCGCCACCGCTCAACCATGTGTACTAACCAAATACGGCTAGTGGGTGCCACTGCACCCCACACATAATCTACAGTATGTTTTGGGGCGAACTGAATCGAATGCGCGACAACCCCATAGACTAACAAATAAACTCCAGGATAGCTGGACGCTGCGGTGGACGGTCTATTGGCACTGTCATTTAGACTTCAAGCTGCGCCCTGACAGCCCCCAGTAGACATATTTACCTGCAGAGAAACCTACCTTCTGAAATCCCAGCGCTCGAAGAGAACATTTTGGTTTGCTAGCAAATATCTCTCTCTCAATCCCATCCCTCCGATAATTCTCGCTAAACTTGGCTAATGCGGTGACGGAACTATGTGTATGAGATTTGGCGACCCTTAGCCATCCGGCATAGCGAGGCGCGACGATAGAGAAGCCTGTAGAAATAGGGCATTGCGACATCGGTTATGTATGGAATTACTGATGTATAAGGGATGACTCATAGAAGGAACAGGGGATTCAGACAAGGTTTAGTGTAAGGGATTATGGAATCAGGAGATGACGTGGTATTAGAATATCTGTATATATAGAGCATTCAAATGTTCATATTGTTGCTGGCACAATAGTATCTTTTTCGTGCTATAAAACACATCCTCCATCAAGGTCACGTGTGCAAATCACACTCAAGTCAATTTCTCCCAAACTCCAAACTACAGGTTATGAGCCCGGGTTCTGCCAGATAAAATCCGCACAACACTCGCCACCGCGGTTAACTCAATTACACTTCATACAACATCATGTCTGACACTGGTGAATCATACAAGGCCGTGGAGGTTAAATTCTCAGACAACACGAGCCCTAATTACATACGCATCAAGTTTGATGGACTCCCAAAATTAAAGGGACAATTCAACTACCAAACTTGTGTATCTGCCTGGAGGATTACATTCGATGCAGCAGACTAGTGGGAAGCTTTGAGCATCGAAAACCCTACAGAAGATCATACAGACCTCACAAAGGCCGAAATCAAAAAGGCCCGAAAACAAATGCACAGCCTTCTCATCGGAGCTGTAGCCGAAGACATACAACCAACAGTCGTTTCCGCCAAAAATGCTTACCAAAAATGGAAGACGCTCAAAGACCTCTACGATCGCGTATCACCAAATATGAGAATTACCCTCCTCAGCCGTGTGTTAGACACGAAGATACAAGATAACGGTAACCTAAGTGAGCTTCTCAAAATCTTCAATATGAACTGGAACACTCTCAAGACCAAGTGACAGAGCGGTGAACTCAAACCTGCTCAAGCCCTACTACCTCTCACCAAATCCAACGAAGCGATGGCAGCATTCCTACTAGCCTCACTGCCGAAGTTGATGAGCAACATC